ATGGCACAACGGAACGAGTGAGTTCCGTATGAACGATCGGTGAGCGCCCCCTAACATTGGACAAATAACCATTGTCTACTGCATAAACTGCTAGTTATAATTGCCTGGGAGTTAATATTTCGGGGAAAGAAATGCTGAAGCAGAGGGCCTCCGAGGGGCCCGTTAATCAATAATCGCAGATCGCTTACAATGCCATGACTCTGACCACCGGTTCGATCCCGCTGACAAGCAGGCGGTTGATCGAGAACATTGCAAGCCGCTCTGAGGCTGAGACAATCCTGGCGTTAAGAAGTGAGTGCAAGTGATTCGTTACTTGATCTTCCATCTGCACAAAAGGCTTTGCACAGTCACCACTAAATTAGACCGGCCCAGGAATGTTGGCCCAAATAACTGGTTTTATTTAAGCCGCAGCTTTTGTTAATTTTCTGCTCTCTGGTTATGACCTCACTGCGTTCTTGAAATGTCCAATAAACACAGTTACTCAATCGTAGACTTAACAGCCTCCACCTTCTTCTACGTTTTATGTATTTTATTCTGACCGAAATGGGCATAGCTGAAAACCTTCAAATAATGACTACCGAAATCCTGTTTGGGGTAGAAAATGCTTACTGTAAGAAACCAGGCACCTACCTGCCGGTTTACGTTCGTAAATTTAAGCCTTTTTGGTTTTACAGCGTTTACTATCTCGACTTTACTGTTTATCTCAAATAAGTATTATAGCAGCTCTGGCGCCACTGATCCGGACAAAATACAGTTGTTTACGCGAACATAGTGACGCTGCGCGAGGGCATAGGCCATATAAAGAGCGTCCTCAGTTCCGTTGCGCAACCTGGATACCAGCCGCAGTTGCGTGTCACCCACTTATGCTGTTGACTTTGTGTCTGGGCATTGGCAGCTCTCGCACGTAATGGGCTCATTCAAGGACGCATATGCTCCAAGCCTCTAAATTTACCACTGTGGCGATGGCTGATCTGTGCGTGTGCGGCAACAATCAGCTTGCACCATCTGCGAATAACTGAGCACTGATGAAACTTCATAAGTCAGGAGATTTCTCCTTGCATCCAGCTGTCGATTCTAGAGCGTCAGAAATCTCTCCTTCCCCATACCATCATTCCGACCTTAAAGTGAACTAACAACAGCACCTGTGGTCCGCCTAACTTATCTGACACCGTTCTAGCAGCCTTTAGGAAAAACCGCATATTGATTGAACTTCACAACAGGTGTTCCGAATAGTTGGTAAAATTAAAACTTTGGAGCTAGCCTTATGTCTGATTGAGACGACTAGGAATTAACGAATTCCATGAGATACCGAAAACTTAAATAACTAGTGAGACTGTACTGATATCTGGGACATTTTACCTCCGATAGGAACTTTTAAAAGCCAAAAGTTTTTCCGACGGCTTTTTAACCGCCACCTGTCGCTGCATAACATGAATAATGAGCAAGGAGTTTATAGGAGTACGAGGAGCATAAACTGAATTTGTTTAGGAAATCATTGTGAAACAGCAAGTTCAGAGTTCGGATCATGAAGTCTAATCGGCTAAAAGCATCGCCAAGAAAGAATATCGAAGGAGGGGATGGACGAAATAACGTTTGAACGGTATGCAAATCAAAGTACTAGGGATGGCCAAGGAAAGCTGAGGCTTACCACATCCTCTATTTGTTAACACAGGTCGCTTTTTTCGCTCCATATGTTGACTTGCTCCAAGTAGTTTCCCAGTTTTTCAGGTACCAACTACTGCTAGAAGGAGTGTTTTGAGGTCAGTATGTTTAGTGATAGAAGAAAGGGAAATTCTGTTTGCCGACTTCACAAGCTAATTATGCAAGTGCTAAACTGACCTGGCTATTAGGGGGGTTTTGCGATCCCCCATGTACTTCCAGTCACTAAAGCATAGTAATTCAGCAGCACAATCTGAGGTTCCGTGAAGTCGCAAGGCAGCATCCGTTCCTTTAATTTGACTGGTGTGCGAAGGACTGCTAACGACGAACTGAATCATGTTGTAAGTCCTTTCGAGGATTATCGCAATCGCCGCTTGATCATGTTTGAAAAATTCTCGCCCTCAAATCATAGGAATATTATAACAGTTTTTTTCGAAACTAATATTTCCATCGATTTTCGCCACAGAGGACTGTTACACTTCTGACTAAAACAGGCTGGGCAACCAGATTTAACCAAAGTTTCCTTAAGGTAAGCAAATTATGGGTCCAGTGTCCCATTAAAGCAAATTTTTCTTGATCTTTCGAAGAGCATTTAGACGAGTTTTCGCTTTGGCTATGCCAGCAAAAAATCCTTGTTGGCACATACTGATCACTTCACGTGTTCTTTTGGAAAAAATTATCGTCTGACTAAACCATCTGCTTGCGTATGCATGAAGAGGTCCAAGTAAAACAGCTGACTGATCTGTTTTTTATCCATTGTAATTTAATATCAAAATTCGGGCTATTCGTTGTGACACGTGGGTCTCCGGCCTCTTCGTCATTAGAGACAGTCGCGATTCTATCGTTAGACGTTCTTCCCTATACTGCTTCCATATTTATTTGTGATTATTTTTTTGCTGTAAGTGACCCACAAAGTTTCATTGCGATTGGAACCGAGTAGAATTCCCATTGTTAAGCTGTCAATTTGTCAGAATTGATGTCTATTAAACAGGTATAGTGCATATTTTTTTTAAACCATCGGACGTGTAAGGCGACGGACGAGTTTTATACGTATAAGCACACGATGTCTAATGCTTTATCAGATGATTGGCAACTTGAGAGTTGAATTCATTCCCTTCCACAGTTATGCGAGTTCGCAGCAATCCTCCGTTTTCCGACAAAGTTGCTTTGTCCATGGCTGCGCCAATTCTGATAAAATGTTCAATACTTTTCTTATCACGGCAGCCAGTCCCGCAACCTCCTAAACTGTTGTCGAATATTTGTCTTTGGCCTGAGATCAACTCCAACTAGAAATGGTATGAGAGGGCGACTGGCAACTCCTAAGACATTTTTTAACCTACTGGACAAGATTATAAGCCGTAAAAAAACTCTAAAAAGCAAATCAACGGGGTCTTGTGCCGGAAAATTTGTAATAGATAAAGCAGGATATTCAATAATTAAGTAAACAGGAGACCTGTAGTTCAGTGTATCCGGAAACACACGTACATAGGCTGGTAAATCCCCTTTGTCCACAA